GCTGTTGCGTCTTGGCAATCCAGAACCATGCCAGAACATCATCATTGCGACTTCACAGCGAATCAGCAAAACTGTTGCGCCCTGACCGTCCTGAGTCGATCCAAACCTCAATTCCTGGTACGTTAGCCATGAGAATCATTGAAAGTCTGGTAAACGTTTAAAACGAATGCGCGCGGCACGGCGAGAATCATAGTTTGAAACGAGCCGCCATCAATCCGTACGAACTTTGTAGTTAATCAGCGAGTGCTCGCTGCGCTAAGGCGAGAGCTACATTTTTGAAACGGCCCGCCCAGTATCCGTGAAGCTCTTGCAATGTAAAGGACGAAGGTGCTCGGCGCTACCGCGAGAACAACATGTTGAAATCCCCCCAATGTGTGAAACCCTTGCAATTGTGGTAAGACGAGTGTGCGTGGCGCTAAGGCGAGAGCTACATATTGAAAACCGCCTGCCCTCAATCCGTGAAGCTTACTGGGAAATTGTGAAGACGAGTGTGCGCGGCGCCAAGGCGAGAAGCACATTGTGAAAACCACCCGCCTTCCATCCGTGAAACTGCTGCCAAGTTTAAGCTTCAGGGTCATAAGTGGTCAGGAAGTCTCAGGCGAAACGCCCGGCCCGCCGTTTCAACTGGCCTTGGGGTGCGACAGGGAAGAGTAATCTATAAGGAATCGGAATGGAAGAGGAGGAGGAGGACGAGGAGGAGGAGGAGGAGAAGGAGTAGGAGGAGGAGGAGGAGGAGGAGGAGGAGGAGGAGGAGGGGGAGGAGGAGGAGGAGGAGGAGGAGGAGCAGGACAGGAGCAGGAGGAGGAGGAGGTGGAGGAGGAGGAAGACGGGTAGGAGGGGGGGGTGATCGGCGGCTCCCCTCGCACCCGACGCGATTTGCTCCCTCTGTGTGCCACAAGATCTTCCGGCCCCATCCCAGGCAGGTGTATTCCACCAGGAGTTGTTTCTGACGGTCCTTGGGCCTGAAGCGGCTCAAGCTCAGCACACGAACCAGCGGACCTCCGATGTTGTGTTTTCTCAATGCCATATTTCTCGGATGTCGCAGCACTTTCCCTGGGATCGGCTTCTCATCCGGAGTGCTTTTTGATTTTCTTGGGGCTTGCAAAACGGCCCACGACGTCGAACATTGTGAGCAAAAGTGTCCCCTGGACTTTCTCAATCACCACCCACCAAACCACCCCAACCCAACCCGAAGGCCCCAATTTACCCTCGATTTCCAGTGGGGGGGGGGGTCGGGAAACATCGAACAAAACACATGTGGAACCCTTACCCCCCCCCAACCCGAAATTCGGGTCTTCGGGTTGGGTTGGGGTGGTCTGGTAGGTAGTCACTCAAGGCGTCGGAGGGCTGGCTCCGCTTCATCAGCAAAATCTGCCCTCGGACCGCACCACGGGGACGCTCTCACTGCCATTCCGAGGGGAGGCCGGCGTGCGGCGGCGAGGCAGGCCCCCAACTGATGAAACACCGACCGTCTCACGTTGCTCTCCCAGACCCCCTCGAGTAATGAAAAAATCATGACGAAAGGTTTTTCGCCATTTTCGGCCTTTCGGGGCCCTCACCGGGCCTCGGGAGCGTCAAAAAACGACTCAGGATGACAAACCGGTCCTGGGGAAGGGGTCGAGAACTCTGGGGTCGACGTAATGACAAATTCATTACGTCGGGGGTCTGGGCTCGACGAAGGATCTGAGGGCTTCCGCTGCGCGCAGCTCCACGAAGGGTCCGGAGGGCCGACGTCGTCGACGAGGACCCGAGCCCCCCAAGCGACACGACACCCTGCGACGCCCGGTCTCTTCGAGTGGTCGGCCTCTCGAGGCCCGCAGCGGGCCCCCGGGGCCCGACGTCGCGCAGCGACCTGCGGATGCGATTCCGTGGCCAAAACGGCAGCCCTGGCTCGAGCCCCAAAGCCCGAGGCACGCCGTGCGCGCTCGATGTCGTGCCAGCCGCCCGCGAGCGCCGGCGAGCCCCGCTCTCGCCGCTCATCCCCGGGGGCCGCTCCGAGCGCGCTCCTGGCCCACGGTGCCCCCGGTTGTGTTCGCGCCAGCTGGAAGCCCCGCGGGGCCCCCTCGGGGCGTCGCGAGGCTCGCCGTGGAGGCCGCGCGGGCTTCCGGAGGGATCCTGGGGGGCCGGCCGCACGCGTGGGTGTGACCCTTCGCATTGCGTGGCCTGTTGGCCCGCGGGGCTGTCGCGGGGGCGCCGGGGTGGGGGAGGAGGAGGCGCGCCAGGCCCGAGCTCGCAGGCCGCCGTGGATGCTCCTCCCGCAGCGATCGGCAGGTCGCGCACCAGGGGCCACGTCTCGCCTCGGGCCGCTCCTGCGTGCAGCCGGCTGGGCCAGGGGGCACCTTCGGCAGCACCCGGCCCATGACCCCCGCCAGCGCCGCTGCAGGCGGCCCGCGTGGGGCCGCACCGACCCTCCAGGTGGTCGGGCTGGTGCTCCAGCGGCGGCTCTTCTCGCTGCCGCTGCCCTTCGACACCACGGCGGGCGGGCGCTCGGACTTCCTGCTGCAGGCAGGGCGCTCCAGGGACTGCCCTCGCCTTCGGCGGACGCCGGCGGAGGCAGAACGGAAGCGAGCCAGCCAGCGGGAGGTCAGCGGAGGCCGGCGGAAGCAGCAGCGGCACGGCAGCATCTTTGGCCTCGGGGCTCTCTGGAGTCGGACACCCCAGGCGGATCGGTATCCCAGCACATGCCACGACCACATTTTCGCGGGTCCGCGCGGATTTCTCCAGGCGGCGCTGGACCCCCGTCCACTCGCCCCCAGGCGCCGTCTTCGGCGCCGCTCCCGGCGCGCTCCGCCCCCAGCGCGCTCCGTCGCGCTCAATCTTCAGCGCCGACCTGCAGTGAACACCCATGCCAAGAAATTGCCAAGAAACACCCTGCTTGCCTCCAGGGTGCCCTGTTCTTTTTTCTTGGGGGGGGGGGTCGATGGTTTGCTATGTCAAGCGTGACGTTCCCGCACCAATAATCGATAGACGTCCTGAGGTCTCAGGGTTGGGTTTCATGTCGAAGGTTTCTTGCGGCCGAGGCCCTACTATATGGAAGCTGCGCCTATGTACCTCCGACGGCCCTCCCCGATACTTTCCGCGCCCCGGGGGGCGCCACCCCCGCTGAGAGCCTCACATCGACCCCTCGTCTCGGACAGCCACCGCACGCCGATTTTGCGCTCCGAGCCCTGGCGCGGGTGCGCCGTCGAAGCGAGGCTGACATCCGTCGGGGGAGATTCCCCCCCAGCGCCCTGCGCATGGAACTCGGAGCATGCTCGCGTCCCAGGCCCCCTCGAGTCATGGAAGCAAACACGACGGGAGGCTTTCCCCAAGTTTCGGCCTTTGGGGGCCCCCCACCGGGCCTCACATCGATTCAGGATGAAAAACCGGCCCTGGGGAAAGAGTCGGGAGTTTTGGTGGTTCGGGGGCGGAAAAGAGGGGGGTGATGACTAGGGGGGGGTGGATATCATGGCGGTGGCCATGGTATTTTCCCAGATTTCATAGCGCCTCTTCTTATTTCAGTACGTTCCCTGGCCCCCCCCCTAGGCCGCGCACATGCCGCCAGCCATGATTTGCACCCCCCCCCCCCTCTTGGACACCCCCCCCTTGGCCGCCCCCGAGTGGTCGGCGTCATGAACAATCATGACGTCGCGGGTCTGGGTCTCGGAGCACGCTCGCGCTGCTCTTTTAGGCTCCTTGTGCAGGGCCCCGGGCTTCCGGACCACCTGCGCCAATTCCAAGAGGCTTGCGAGCGACGAACCTGCAGTCAAAAACCCTGATCAGGACACGCGACTTTGCTCAGGGTACCCTTGCGTCCTTGCTCTTCCTTGCTCTTGCGTCCTTGAGGTTTTCGTCGTCCGCCGCCCCAGAAATCCCAACTGCGGTTTCCAAGGGTCTTGCGTCCTTACCGCGCGTCCTCACTCGGGTTTTTGACTGTACCCGTACCTCCGCCCCTCGCGCTCTGGATGCCGAGGCGCGATCCCATGGATGCGGGATCCCATGGGCTCCGTTCCGCGCTGCCCTGCGCCCATGGGGCCGCGGCCGACGAGTCCGGACCGCGAGGCCGTGGGCACGGGGGCGCTGCCCGCCCGGGGGAGGCGCTCGACCTCGTGCTGGGCGCGCTGCCGCGGGTCGACTGGGGGCGGTGCGGCCGGGGCGACGCCATGGTGCGGATGATGGTCCGGCAGGTGCGCGCGCCGCGGGGCCTCAGGGGCGCGGAGGCCGCGCGCGTGCCAGAGGCCTCCGACTCGGAGGACGTGTTCATGAACCTGCCGCACCACGACAACCGGTGGGGCGTTCCAGAAAGAGGGCCTCGCCTTCGGCGCGCCTCGCGCCCTCGGTTGAGGTCGGGGGACGCGGGCGGGAGTGGGGCCAGTGGGAGGCGGCGGAAGCAGACAGGTGCGCCGGGAGGCCGCACCGCGACAGCGGGTGAGACGATCGAGGCATGGCCTCGCCTTGCCCCTTGGACCGGAACGGGCTGGCATGCCTTCTTCAGCGGAAGGCTGGCGGAAGGCTGGCGGGAGTAAGACGTGGGCCGCTACGCCGGCGGGCCGGCGGAAGCCTGTGGAAGGCCGGCGGAAGTCGGCGGAAGAGAATATCGTCCCCCAAGAGATGCGCATTTTTTTGATCCAGGGTTTCTGGAACGAGCCAGGTGGCCTGGCGCAGACTATTCAAGAGCAGTGCTGCGTCCGCTGGCCCTAGATGAGGTCCGAGGTTCGAGACTTGAGGTTCTAAGCTTCTGGTCGGCATTTTTTTGGGGGGGGGCCTCCAGGAGACTTGTCGTCGTCAAGGCTGGATTCTCTTCGAATGTCTCGTCGTAGCGGGTTGCAGGACAGGTCCAGCGATTGATTCTCTTGCCCCGGGGCCCAGGCTTCCAACGTCTCTCTGGGTGAGGTGGCCTCTCGTCTGCAAGGCCGGTGCGGCCATGCGGTCTTGGGCCAGTGTTTGGCCCGTCTGGAGCTTCTTGAGATCTCTGCAAGCCTACTGGGGCCTACGGGGCCTCCTGTGAGGCGCAGGGCTTCCACGCGCCTGGTCGTCCGAGGGAGCCGGTGGATTTCGTGGTGAGCGACGCACCTCACCGCACGATCTTCTACCCCCGGGGCGAGGATCAGCCGCCCGTCCAGTTCCCAGCCCACGCCGTGGTGCGCTACGACGCGCTCTGGCTGCACTCGGCGCCCGGCTTCTGCGCCGCCGCAGCAGGCCCTGGCGGAGCAGGTTGGCGCCAGCCGAAACATGTGTTCTCTGAGATCCTTGCGACTCAGCTTTTTCGAGCTGGGCGTTTTCGCTCGATTTCGGTCACGGATCGATCAGGCTTGACAAACATGATGCAGAACGATGGGGTCCAGAGATCTGGGCGTGGTTTTGACGATGTTGCAGTTTTTTTGCAGCGTCGGATCTCAGGGTGGTTTGTGTTTTGTCTTTCGCAGCTTTTTTGTTTTTGTTTTTTTTCAAGTGGCTTACGCCGTTCCGCCGACCCTCACAAGGAGTGATTGTTTGAGGCGATCGTGCTGAGAGGGGGCTCTTAGGGTGCTCCTCGGGGGCCTCTTGGAGGGCTTTGGGGGCATCTGGGAGGCTTTTGGGGACCTCGTGGGGGCCTCTGGGGGGCTTCTTGGGGGCGTCTTGGAGGCCTCTTGGGGCTTCTTGGAGGGGCCTCGGGGGGCTCTGGGGCCATCTTGGTGGGAAAGGCTCGAAATGTCAGTTCGTATTCCTTCTCTTGGGCTTTCTTGGAGCCCTCTTGGGGCCCTGCAGGGGCTGTCTTCGGCCGTCTTGGGGGGCCCCTGGGGCTGTCTTCGGGCCCTCTTGGGCCGTCTTGGGGCCTTGTTGGGGGCATCATGGGCCGTCGTGCGACGATCTTGGGGGCCACTTGGGCCGTCGTGCTCGCTGTCAAAACGTACAATGCGAGAGTGCTGAGAATGCACGTTTTTCCGAATCATGGAATAATTCTGGCCTCTTGAGACCCTCTCGGCGATCCTCTGGCGGCGCTTTGGGCTGTCTTGGGGGCCTCGTGGGCCATATTGAAGCCATCTTGGATCGTCGCGGGGCTACGCCGGGCCGTCATGGCGCTCTCTTCGTCTGTCTTGGCGCTCTGTCTGGGGCTGTCTTGGGGCTGTTTCGGGGCTCCAGAGGCCCTGGGGAAGCGTTGGCGTGCTCGTGCCCCCCTCCCCCGCACCTCTCTCTAATCTCTGATGCGATTTTGAGCTCCCGGGGAGGGGGAAAAGGGGGAACAGCCCATTGTCTCACACGCCTCTTCACCCCTGGCAAGCGGGAGTCGGCGGATTCCTAGATTTCCAGCGACCAGATTTTTTGAATGCGGGCGCTTTTCCTCGATTTCGGCCCGTGGGATCCGTTATCGATTCCCGGGGCCATCAAAGATGGGTCCAGGGCGACATCATGACCCTGGGGCACGGGTCGGGACCTCCTCTGGGGCCGCGCATTGAAAAACAGATCGTCGGATGGATGGGCTTTGTTCGGTTGTGTGTTGTTCTCCCCTCCCCTCTCCCCTCTCGCCGCCCTCGCGGCCCCAGACGGTCCACCGCAGGCGCGCCCTAAACGACCCCCACGGCTCAGGCAACCTTTCCGCCGCCGCGTGCAGCCAGTGCCCTCTCCGCTCTCGGATGCGTCAGCCTGCTGGGCAGCGCGGAAGCCGCAGCTCGCCACCGTGTCCGGGGGTTTGGTGCTCGTCGCAGGTAGGCAGTTTGTTCCGCAGGGCTTGGTGCCGCTGCTCCAGCATGGAGGCGCTGTGCGCACGCCACCGCGCCCTCTATCCTCGCTCTGCGCCCCCCGCTTCTCGTCTCCGCCTCTCCGTCGGTCTCCCGCGCTGCACTGGCAACTCGGCGCTCGACGCAGCGGCGTGGTCGGCGTTCTGTGGGCGCGCGCCGACTTCGACCAGCCCTGGGGCCCCACGAGGGGGCCCCACGAGTCCCCCTGATATATGCCCGGCGTCGCCGCGCCGAGCGCCGCGGGCGTCGAATCCCCGGCAGGTGCACCGGGCCTGGCTGCTTCTGAGACAGACCAGCCACGACGGGGGGGTGGGGGAGTTGGGGATTTTGCAACAGCGTCGCGCCGCGGCGTCGACGTCGGCTCAGGCGTGCCAGGGTGGGCGCCGCCAGAGGGATGGACTTGGCCGATGTCGGCAGATCATGCATTAAGCGTAATACAGCCCCGAACCCCCATCAGAAAATGAATTCGTGGCCTGACTGCCCAACTCAGGTCCACGGTTTGCAGGGACATCCCCAAACGTGGATGCTTTCGTTTGACACGTTTGCAAAAAAGGCCCCCTGCCCCTACTGTTTTCGGCCCTCCTAACTTGGGTCTCCTGCCGAAGGATGCGGGATACTTACTGTTTATCGTCAGTGTTGTCGGAAAGCCGCGATCGTTCAGGGTTGACCGATCCGCGCGGTGTCAGAAGCCAGCGCTGGCGTCGTCGCCGCGTAAGTCCGGCGCCTCCCTCCGAGGGACCCAGTCGGCCTCCACGCCCCTTTCGAGAGGTCGTCGATACGATTGGTTCCCCCATGGAGTTGAGGAGGACGATGCCGATGAGTCGGAGGAGTCGGAGGAGTCGGAGGAGGAGGAGGCGGAGGAGGAGGAGGAGGAGGATGACGAAAGAGGATGGGCAGCCCTCGGATTGCTACAGTTGCTCCAGAGAGTTCCCGAACGCTCTCGGAGCGTTCTGGACCCCCCCCCCTGGTCGTGGCTGGTCGGCGAGAGTGGGCGGGTCTTGCGGACCTTTATCTGGAAGGCGAAGCGACGACGTGAGCAGGCACTCTCGGAGGTCCGTGCTGGCCTCTTGGGTCGGCGCTGAGTTCCCCACTCGGCGGCGAGCGAGGGGGGGAAGTGAGAAGGGGCGGGCCTCCTCAGAAGGCTCGGAAGTCCCCCCCCCGGCCTTCTGAGAAGCTTTCCTGTAGCCTCCCCCGAAGACGCAGCAGCCCCTCTTAAGAAGGCCAGAGGCCTTTTGAGAAGCCCCGACGCCCTCTGCGGAGGCCATCCCCTTCTCACTTGCCTCCCGCGCTCGCCGCCGACCCTCCCTCCCTACATCCTTTGGCGGTGCCTCCAGCCGGCGCGCCCCGCACGCCGGGGATGGGGCGCGGGGCGTGGGAGGGAGGGGGGGGTCCCGCGCCGGCCGAAGAGACCCGCGTGAACGTTCGAAGGGTTCTGTCTGCGTCCTCCCTTTGTCGCCTTCTGCGCTCCACATCACGGCGTGGGACCCGCTCTGGAGCGTCAGGAGGTTTCCCGACTTCCTGGCCAAGCTGACGTCCGCGCCCGCGCCGGAGTGGCACCGGCCCTCGGTGTGCGAGGCGGAGGATGTTGTCCAGGGCTGCTTCGACGCCGCCGCTGGCTTTCACGGGGGGAAATGTGGCACAAGCTCAAATACAAGTTGATTTCCTTAAGAGCAAGAGAATATGGGAAAGGGAGGGGAAGCTGAAAATCAAGGAAATCTTGGCACATATGGGGAATGGTGGAATTTCTTTCGATTTGTTTGTGCCCTCCTGGGCTCCTCTAGGCTTCTCGTGCGAGCAGTGCTGCGATCTGCGGCGCGGCGCCATGGGCGACAGCGCCTGCTGGGCCGGCTGGATGACCTACGAGATGATGGGCACATTTTCCACCACCACTGCCATATGTAGGACGGGGCAGCAGGGAGGATGCAGAGGTCCTCCTCCTCCTCCTCCTCCTCCTCCTCCTCCTCCTCCTCCTCCTCCTCCTACCTGTGGCAGTGGTGGCGGAACATGAGCCCATCAACGAGAAGTGCTGCGGGCCCGCCTCGAGGCGCTGGGCCGGCTGCGGCTGGCGCCGGGGGGTCGACCTGTGGGCCCGGGACTACTTCATGGAGCCCCAGCTCTGGGTGGGGCCTGCCCCTCCACAGGAGGAGTTTTTCAAAAGTAGAGTATAAAAATAGTCTGGGGTCGATTTTTACATAGTTGTTTGACAATTTCGGGGCATTTCGGCGGTATTTTTGTTTCATTTGTCGTCCAAGACCCGCCCGTAGGGGGCATGCCCGACCTAGCCCCAGATCGGAGAACAAGCAATGGCATAAACATGCGCTTTCGGAGGTCCGCGCGGATTTCTCGGATCGGCGCCGGAGCCCCTCTCTGGTGCACGGAGCGCGCCGAGGGCGGCGCCGGAGGCGCCGCCAGGGTGCTCCAGCGCCGAGCCGAGAAATCCATGTTCGGACCTCCGAAAGGCCATGTTCATGCCATCGCTCGCTCCGCTACCAGAAGCTGCACAGCCCGGCGCAGTGCCAGCAGCGGTGCGAGGAGGACCCGCTCTGCGAAGGCTGGACATACTTCCCCCTGTCTTGGCAGCCGCTGGGCTGCCGGCTGCCGCTGGCCGCCGTCATGGGCCTGCGGCGCGTCTGCCTGCTCCGAGGCGACCCCGGGCCCTCCGCTGTGCCGCACGAGGGCGTCCTGTGGGGCCCGCTGGAGTGCGCGGCAGGCGCCAGCGGCTGCCTGGAGGTCGGCCTGGACCGGTCCGGGCCCGCCCTCGCCATCCTCAAGGAGGTCCCCGACGCGGCGGCGTGCCGCGGCAAGTGCCGCTCGATGGGCGGATGCCGCTCTTTCGCGTTTTTCCCAGACCACTACCGCGGCGACGCGTCCGAGCAGTGCGAGCTGCCGCCCGAGGTGGTGACCTGGTGGGCGGCCCGCTGCCAGATGAAGGTTGCGTCCGCAGCGGAGGGCTCGCCGGTGTTCCTGCCGATGGGCAACGTGGTGTCGGGTGCTCGCTCCTGCCCCGCCGCCGCGCCCTGGCTGGGGCTTGCCCAGGCGCCGGGTGCCGACCTCGTCGTGGACGAGGGCTACCAGCGCGAGCGGTGCGCTGTCGTGGGTCCCTGGCGGCGCGAGCTGGACGCCGAGTACCTGGTCTCTCAGGCCATCCTCTGGCTCGGCGAGCTAACGGGCCTTGCCGACCGCAGCCTGCGGCCGCGGCAGTACGACGTTGTGCTCGTCACCGCTGGCCCCGCTGGGCCCTCTGAGGTGCACTGCGGCACGGCGCTCGAGCTGGCGAGTGGCAGCCCAGTCGTGGTGGACTGCGTCGCCCCGAGCGCTGCGTATGGCGTGGAGGTCCGCGCCCAGACGCCCTCGGCCGGCTTCTCGCTCTGCGAGGTCGAGCTGCGGCTGGCGCCGGTGCCTTGCGCAGAGCTGGTGGAGCACGAGTACATCCTCTGGAACGCCTACGCGAGGGTCTTCCCCCGCGGTGCCGCGGAGCGGCCCAGCGGCGGCACACCGGGGGGCGAGGCCTGCGAGCGGCGAGGGGGCAGCCCGGTGCTCGTGGGCGGGCGTGGGGGCGCCCCCGTGTGCCTGGAGGCAGCGTGCGCGCCCTCGGAGTGCCTGGAGGAGTTCGACAGGGCTTTCGACGTGTACGCGCCGCTCTCGGGCTTCGACCTCTGGGACGCGCGCTCGGAGGCGGCGGCAGCCGCCTGCGGGGGCGACCGCGTGGCGGGCACCTTCTTCGAGGCGACCGTGGTCGTGCACGTCGGGGGCAGGTCGGAAGAGGGCACGGGCAAGACCGCGGTCCTGCACTGGTCCTTCTGCGCGCCCGGCGGCTGCAGCAGCGACGACGCCGCGAGGGTGGCCGTGCGCGTCGCGGCCAGCAAGGGCCTGGAGCTCTCGGCGCTGCCGCCCGGGTCGGAGGTCGAGGTGCGCGGCGTTCGCCCCCTGGCGCGGTGGGAGGACGTGCGGCTGGACTTCCTCATCGCCGGGTTCGCCCGCTCGGGCACGCACTCGCTGCTCCTGAACCTCGCCTCGCACCCAGAGGTCCAGGTCTCGGCGGCGAGTCCCGGGGGGGGGAGTGAGAAGGAGAAGGCCTTCTCAGAAGGCTCGGAAGTCCCCCGGCCTTCTGAGAGAAGTTTCCTAAGCCGTCACCGACGACACATCAGAGTTCTCAGAAGGCTGGAGGGCCTCCGAGGAGCCCGCTGCCTTCTGAGAAGGCACTCCCCTTCTCGTTCCCCCCCGCGCTCGCCGCCGAAGGTCAGCCGGGAGGACCTGACCTTCAACTGGGGCTACGTGCCCATGCAGCAGCAGATCCAGCAGTACGCGGCCGCCGTCGAGGGCGAGGGCGGCCACGGGGGGGCGGAGGGCGCGCGCGGGGCCCCCGCGCCGGGGCGGCGGCTGAGGGGCGGCAAGGGCGAGGGCGTGGCGCTGAACCCTCGCATCCTGAGGCTGCTGTCGCGGGCGCGGGGCCTCAAGCTGGTGGTGATGGTCCGGGAGCCGGTGGAGTGGCTGGAGTCGCTCTACAACCTGCGCGCCCTGGAGTGCCGGAGCGCGGGCGACTGCGGCGAGCTCCCGACGCTGGAGGACGTGATCCTGCGCGGCGCGCAGCTGAAGGACGCACGCGCCGCCGACGCGAGCCTCTCCACCTCCCTCGAGGTGGCCGCCGCGCACTTTCCGCCGCGGTCGGGGCGCCTGCTGCTGCTAGAGTTCGAGCTCCTGAAGGCGCGCCCGAGGGAGCTCTTCGACAGGCTCACCGGCTTTCTGGGCATCTCGCCGTTCCCGGCGGACCACTCCTTCGGCAAGTTCGGAACAGAACAGAGGTGGAGGAACAACAACGGCGTACAAATAATCTTTGGGCGGTCCCCGCGGAACGCCGAAAGCTTATGTTTGGATCCGCGCGGGGGCGGTGGGCGCGTTCTGTCGGAACGGGTGGAGAGGAGGATGAGGATGATGATGAGGAGGAGGAGGAGGAGGAGGAGGAGGAGGAGGAGGAGGAGGGAAGGCTGCGTCGGAACGACTCTTCAGCCAGCAGGCAACAGGTAACAGGAGGAGGGGGGGCGAGGGACAAGCTCCGTCGGAAGGTCAATCACTCCCAGGGGAAATATTCGAAAATAGTAAAAGATAGTCAGGGAACGATTTTCGAGCAATTTCTGTTGGGGGACTGTTAAAACAAAAAGCAATATTTTTGGATTATTTTATAATTTTTCGTCCAAAGTCCGCCTGTAGGGCGACATGCCCGATCTAATAGTACATGCCCCATCCAGAGCATGCCGTCTTTTGTTCTTCTAGCAGAGGGCGCAGTACCGGTCGCAGGGAACGGGGGCCGACCTCTGCTCCGAGGAGCTCCGCCCCGCGCTGCTCGAGCTGCGGCGGCGCCTGGGCCCGGAGCACCACCGCCTGGCCCAGCCCGGGCGGGCGGCGATAGGGGATGACCCGCATGGGGGGGTAAAGAACAGGGCCCTGAAGGGGCCCTGCACGGCCCCTGTTGGAGCCAGCAGGGGCCTGACAGGGGGCCCTCCAGGGCCTCTTTAGGGCTCTTTTCTTGCCCCCCCCTTTTTTTCTCACCCCCCCTGTCATCCCCCGCGACCGGTACTTCCTGTGGCCCGTTGGGGCTGCCTGTGGCCCATTGGGCCGTTCTGTGGCCCGTTTTGTGCGTGATGGCCTTCTTGTGGCCCGTTTGGGCTGTCTGTGGCCCGGTGTTCGTGTGGACCATTGAAAAAAGAGCGGTCTCGTGCTTTGGAAACGAATGGGTTTCTAAATTGATGAGCGTTCATTCTGCTGGATCTAGTTGAAATGCTCGTTTCGTACTTTCTGTGGCCG